GACGTTTTTTATACGTAACAATATATATTTATTGCCGGAAATACACAGATGAATGTAATGGTGTTTGGCGATTAGACCCCGTTGTGCGGGAGTATCATTCGGGAGGGGAAAAACCGACCCGATTAATCCCCCCCTGGGGTCTAGACACTGGTGGTAGTGAAGGTGGGAAGGGATTGATGGAGGTCGGTCTGAAGAAGAGGGGTTCAAGCTTGACCCTGGATTTGGAAGAAAGGAAGGTGGAAGGGGTTGAGGAGGGCTGCGTTCAGTCACCTGAAATGACAACTGTGAGGAAGGGGAGAGAGCAGATTTAAAGGTTTAGCAATGCACAATGATAGGCTTGTGGGAATAGAGGCGAAGTGATTAGCTGGGGAGTGACGCCCCCGATCACTGATTGAGAGGAGAGAGAGAGTAGTAAAATGGGAATATGTGAATGAATGACTAAAGACGGTCTTCCTGGTTGAACTTGCGCTGAGCTTCATTAGTGTGACTACTGATCCAAATGTGTTGAACCTGCAGTCAGCTGTTGTGGACTGTAGCTGCTGCCTTGTCACTCTGTGGACTTCGGCTGCTGTGTTGTGCTAATGATGTGGCCTGCACCATAAACTGATAAGATCACATGTGCAATAACACTGCTTTATGCTGTCCTTATGAAATACTTTTTGTTTATGGAGATAATGTAGGTGACAGGTCACATACGTTACAAATACACTCTGTACAGTAGTCTGAACTGACCAATAAGGAGTCACAGGTTTGATTTAATTGAGGAGCAAAGAGAAAGATAACCACTTTGTGGATTTTGTATCTCGAAGAGAACGTTGTTTGTGACGATGTGGCTGCAGCTTCTTTCTCCTTGCTAATAATAATAATATGTATATGTATATTACTCTACCATCGTGTTAGCTTAAAGAGATAGTTCCATTTTCTTTTAAGTGGGTTTGTATTAGGTACTTAGGCAGTGTGTTTACGACTTATTCTACAACCAGTACCCACACATTCTGCCCTCTTCGACTGGGAGAGTTGCTGCACATGTGTTGTTTAAAATGTTTCTACTGTGAGCATAATTTTTAAGAGAACGAAACATGGTATTGCCGCTCTTCTTTTCCATATAAACAAGTCTGAAAGACTCAATAGGAACACGTTAAAACATTATAACAACAACAACAGAAATAACAATAATATTGTGATCTCACTTGCAAAGAGTTAGGGTTGAACCAATCTGTCCCCTCAGTGTTAAAGTTTGCCTCTTAATAATTGACTGATAAATTGACGTCCACTCTTTGCACAGATTGCTGCAAAGTTACATTCAATCCAGTCTGAAGGACAGCCAAGGAGGACCCGAAATCAGCACCTGGGAGCAAGGTAGACAATCCCACATTGTGTGTAACGCTCATTACCACATATAAATACTTTTTTATAATAAAACTGAAAATCTATCGGGTAGAGTTGCAATATTAAGTCGACTGAAGATAACTGACAACTGTTTTTAAAATCAATTAGTTGTTTAAGTTATTTTTCATGTAAAAATGTCAGAACATACTGTTTTGAAAATATGGAGATTTCCTGATTCTTCTCTTTTATGATATTACATTGAATATCTTTGGGTTTTGGAGTGACTTGAGTGACACAAGACTTTAAAGAAATGATTATTAGATTAATCTAAAGTTATACGATGAGCAGAGATTACAAAGTGTCCAAAACCACCATATAAAGGTTATTGAAGTTGTGTTTGTGTATATACAGTTTGAGTGTTATAACTGCAGAGGATATCACGTGTGTGTTTGGTAATAACAGTCAGTTCTCTCCTGCTTTGTCTCAGAGGTTTTCTTCCTGTTTGGTCTTTATGACTTCGACCGCAGTGAGCTCCTGGATGGCTTGGAGATGATGAAACTACTCTCAGACTACAACTCCCATCATACACCTGGAGCAAAGACCAATGTGCTGGTGAGGAGGGGAGCCTGTCTACTTGTACATAAACCACTTTCACACTTTTTAGCCTGTTTATCTGACCTGTGTTTATGTGTGTGTGTGTGTGTGTGTGTGTGTGTGTGTGTGTGTGTGTGTGTGTGTGTGTGTGTGTGTGTGTGTGTGTGTGTGTGTGTGTGTGTGTGTGTGTGTGTGAGTACAGGTAGTGTCTATGGTAGACTTTTTACTCCAGACTCACGATCTAAACCAGGACGGCCTGTTGGCCCCGTCGGAGCTGCTGTCTCCTTCATTACCTCACACACAGGTACTGCACAGTCACACACTTGTTTCTTGTGCAACGTCATGATCATTGCCTCCAAGACACTGACAAGGCAAGAGAGCAAGTACTTAAGTGGACAAAATACAACTTAATTGTAACTAAGGGAGTATACTGAAAATATGTTTTCATGATTTAAGGTTATGTTTTTTCAGTTTTTCCGGAAATTAACAAATAAATCACAGCTGCCTTGATTATGTGGAGTAGTCGATTAGTTAATCTATAGAAAAATAATTTCCAACTACTTTTATAATGTAAGTTATTTTTCATGCAAATAAAGCAAAAAGTGCTTTTTTCAGCTTTTTGAATATTGTCTCAGGTTTTTATTATAATTAACTCATAGACTTTAAAGATCACACGCTTGTTTGATACATGTTTTGAAAAATTCACAGTATAATTAAACTCACATTTCCACCACAGGACTCCAGCAACAACAAAGCAGCCGAGGAGAAGCTGTCAGACCACGGGACTGACGAGGAGGCAGGAGGAGCAGAACAGAGGGAGGAGGCTCAGCAGGAGGTGCAGCTTCAAGATGAAGACAAACCTCAACAGGAAGTAAAGACAGAAGAAGAGGAGCTCATAAATCAAGTGAAAAAACAGCAAGGACAACAGATCCCAGAAGCCCCAGCTGCAGAACATGGGCAGGACCACAAAGTCCCCGTTCATCAGGGACAACCAGAGATGTGAACACACAAACTGTGGACCGCAAGATTTCTGTTGAAAAAATACCAAAATTCCGCTGAGAGGACTTCTGAATCTTTATCCCTACAAATGATCTTTATCTCGATTACAATTCTCGATTACACTTTCTAATTCAATTGAGGATTTACACGTAGATGGCTGAGGAGATCAGAATCTGAAATCTCTTCAACGAGGAATGTATTGAAAAGTTCCCTCTCACTGCATTTGTTTTCTACAGCGAGTAACAATGACTTAAAAAAAGCTGGAAAAGGGAGAAAATGACTACATTTAAAAAATAAAAAGCAGTATTATTTATATTAGTAAAACAGAAGCCATCCCTATTAGGCAAAGTACTTATACATATTATTTTATTCTACATGCAAGTGCAACAGTTGGTCATCTTTTTTTAAATAATTTGGAAAGCACAAGATGTGAATTTTGTTTTCTTCACTTGTATTTATGAAGCATTTTCTATCATACCTGAAAGAAGGAGCATGTTTTAATGTTAATGTGTTTGTCTTTAGAGGACCAGTTTGTTCATGTTCACACTGATTGGCCTTATGACTGAGCCACCAGGACTGTTATTTAGTTACACTGCTCTCTTTTACTACCGTTTGGCAATATGCTAAGACACACTGATGTGCCATGACATTAAATCCGCTCTTCCTTGGGAATTTCGCAATGATTAGTTTATTTACTGAATACAATTAGACCATTTTGATGGAGAAAAGCACCATATTATGCAGTATCAGTCAAGTCTCCATTTTCTTTTTATGCACTTAATCTAGTAAGCGTTCACTTTTGATGATTTCATGTGCCTGAAGGAGTTGGAAACCATCAAATCAGTAAAGGTTGGGAAGTTAGAAAGTCCCCATTAAAATGACATTAGTTATTAGCTGCAATGCAAAGTCTCTATCTGAAAACTTGACATGTGTTTTCAGTATGAAAGGGTTTCCAACTTGTTCAAATGTTCTCTTTTTAACCATTTATGAATTCATACAGATTAAAAAATAAAGCAAACATTTCATTTATCGTCTGCTTTTTAAATTCTGTCTCCAGTTACTAAGATGTGTTGAACTTCTAAGAACAAGATAAGGTCTTTTTATAGGAAAATTAACTGACACATTTAGTTTTTGTTGTAAAATGGTATATAGCCTACCAAATGACATTTCAATTTATGAGGGAAATCGCACACCTGGCTCGTTTTTCTGCAGCCAGGTGAATCAAACAAGTCCTAACACATCTCTCAGTGAGCTCAGCACCCCAATCCTCAGTCTTTACATGTAACTTTAGGTAAATAGTGAGGTTGAATGTTTTCCAGGGAGATTGGCACCATCATATTCTTTAAGTCTGATTCCATAATTGGGAAGTTGTTTAAAACCAAAAGACTGACTTGTCACTTGAACAAGTCTTGAAATTGCTTTTATATATGATATGAGGCTGTATTTCACAGTTGAGTTGTGTGTTCAAATCTGCAAAGACGACCACGGTACACTTATTAATCATTCATGTTTTTCCAAATCAAACATCAGACTTCTTTAAATAATGTATGCCACTTCTTTTAAAGCTTGTGCTCTTATGTGCCTGAAGCTGCTAAGTGAGTTCTTAAGTATACACTCTGCAGTAAAGGCAGTTTAGTCCTTATGTTTTTCACATATGTAAGAATCATTTTAAAGAGTCAAGGAGACCTGCAAATACTGTCAAACGACATCTAATAGTGTTTTTCCAAACCCTTCTCAAGCTGCAGATTCCTTATTAGCTGAGTAAGCTGATTACATCTAGGCCCAGTAGTGGTATGATAAGGAGGAGGTCATCTATTCCTTCAACAAGATGTTCAGATAGCATGTGCAGCCAATGGATAAAATGAAACATGAAATGTGCTTAATGGAGTGTTAAGAGAGACGAAGAAGCCATGCCATGACGTGACGATCCCACTCGCTGTAAATCCTATTCCTCGAGTTTAAAAATAAATAAATTACAAATCAAGTGATAGCTTGTCCACAGTATTATTTTAAACTGCAGTTTGAGCCAAGATGGACGTGAAACATGAGCCCAGGTATGAAAAAATAACAAAGCAACGAGTGCTTTATCAGCGTTTTATCTGAAGTGGTTCTGCATTGAATAGTTAACATGCATTAAAACGTTACACACAGCTTTGGATGACAGGACGTATCTAAAACTAAGTGTTATGTTAGCAAACACAAGCAGTTTTCTATCTGAACATGAATGCATGCTGAAGTTCTGCTTTAAACAAATTCATTTCACAGTAAAACGTGAGCCATTACTCATCCTCAAATCAATCAAGACAAAGGAAATGAAACATAAGACAAAGGAAATGAAACATAAGCCTGCAGGTATAGAAAAAGTCTGTATTAAACATTCCCTTATCACTAAACAGCATAAATAAAACAGCATTCACGAGTACAGTGCTGACATACAGAGGAAACACGTTGACTGGTTTCTTTAGCTCCTAATCGTTGCACTGTAACATGAATATGCGTGTTCCTCAGTGAAAAGGGGAGCATGTTGTATAGAAAGAAAATATTCCACTTGTGAAGATACTTATGGAAGCTTGGTCTGTGGAGGAATGTTTTATATGGATACAGTGTGAACCATTATTCCCATTTCAGTCAGATATGGTTTCAAAGGAAAGGGATTTCTACTCTGTATACGTCTATGGCCAATTAGAGACAGGGGCCACTTCTATTTAGGCCAATGGGGATTAACTATATGATAAAAAACAACAACAACTAGAGAGGAGACTGTGTCACAGTATGCAGCATTATAATATGAGAACATGAGAAGTGTCTACCAGTAACGCCTCTTTAGCAGCAATGTTATCAGGGATAGTCCACACTGGTTATTTGGTCCTTAAAAACATAAATAAACACAAGAAGATAAATGAAAGATGATAGAAAAGTTTGTCAAAGTACACCGAAGAGAGGAAAGTGGAGAAACATAAATAGCATGGAGGTAGAAAGGAGGTCTTTGACATCATATCCAGCTACCTAAAGTGGTCTAGTTTTTGCATTAGTACTCTGCAACATAAGAATCACAATCAACAACAAATCAAACACACCCAGACCAGTATTCACATATATTAGGAAGAACAGGAGGTGATAACCTCTAGCTTTCTTATTTCAAATCCTAAGATAGGAGAGGGAGGAGGCTCTCATTAAAAGGGTTCGGATGTGACCTTTAAAGGGGACATATTAAGCTGAGTTTCATACTTGGACTTTACGTTTCCAATAGAGCATCTTTACATGCGTTATGGTATACATTAGGGCAGGTTTATTCTAATGAGCCTGTTTCAGTGTAAGGAGTGGAGCCACATATAAAGGGCTTGTTGAGTCTTTGTGTTCTGATGAAGGAAGGACACAAAAACTCTCAAAACTCAAGATACCCAAATGCACTGATAAAGTGTGTTTTTTACGACAATCCCCTTTAGAAAAGGAAGCTCACTTTTCAGCCTTATTTTGAAACTGCGTATGCTGCAAGGCAGGGGCGGTCAAAGAATTATAAAAAGGACAGAGCAGGGCAGTGTGTCTTTTAAAGTTTTAGTTGTAACAAATAATCTGGATGCCAAAGGGCTTTGCACTCCGGCAAAGACAGTGTACAAATATTAATATATGTACCCAACGTTAATAAAACAAACACGAAACTAGCGATAGTGCCCTGCAACCTAATGTAAACTCACACACACACACCTAACTGAGAATTAACTGCAGATAGTCTGGTTTGGATTAGTCAATTTACTAAACTGTAATGTTTGACTTCACCTGTTTTTATCTGCATCCCCCTAACAACCAGGCTCATACCTGATTAATAACCACATCATGTGACTCCTACAACTGATATTCACTTTTCCTATTGGTCCACCAGGAGCTGCCAGGGCGACAGCATTAGCCTGAAACATTTTACAATCAGTACCCATGTTTGCTGGGTACTTTGTATCACACCTAGATCAAGTGTCCAGGCTCACAGAGCACTACACACAGATGAAGCACACAGTGTCCTTCTCTAGATCTGCAGCACCAGGCCGGCGGCTGAGATGTTGTCTCCTCCGCCTGCAGTTTGGTAAACCTCGGTGCACACGAGCACCGGGGCCACGCAGATCTCGTAGTCGTCCTCGTCCCAGCAGCTGACGGGCCGGCTCTCCTGCAGAGGGATCCGCACGCTGCCCTCCCGCTGGCTCACAGAGAACGAGTCGTCCATGATGAGCCGGGCCTTGCTGGGGTCGATGTCATCGGAGCCGCAGACGTGGCGGTTAGCCGTGAGAGACGCCTTGGCGGTGGCCGACATGGTGTTCTTCCACTTGGAGCCGTGGGTCACGATCATGGCCTGAAAGGCGAGCGTGTGGACGTGGAGCCGAGTCAGCGGCTTCGCTTTAGCGCTGCTTGTGTCGCTGTCTTCCTTTGAGCGGAGGTTCACGATGCGGTACACCTCCCTCATCTGGTCGAGGACGGTGGCTACACGAGGGTTAGGGTCTGACAACACCGTGATGTTGGAGTCTTTCAGCAGGCTGAGCAGGTTGGGAAGCTCCTGTTCATTCATGCCTAAAGAGTCGGCCTGGGAACACAGAGTGACGAGTTAGATTACTGGTCAGCCTTTAACTGAGCTGGCATCTTCCTATGCTGCCTTCAACTTCTCTTTACTAAATGTGTTTTTAATACAGCAAGAAAATAGGGAGCAAGCTAAAATAATCATACAAAACAGATAAAAGAAAAGAAGAGAGGAACTATACAAATGCAGGGGGGCACATTTTGTTTAGAAATGTATTCAATACATTTGACTAAGCAAATCCAGTTTCAAACTACCTGGAAATATTTGTCAAAACACCTTTTACCTTTTTATTATTTCCCTTATTTCCTTTTTCGACCCTGTGTTTGTGTAATTGTTCTAGTAGCCTTCAATGTTAAGTAATGTGTTGATTTGAAAAGTTTAACCAGCAGTTATACATACATGGGGAATGACGTAGTGAAAAAGTTCCTCCATTATACCCTCTTCTACAAAACTGGCCATCTCAAAATGGACTCCAATCGTAGGAGAGGAGGAGGAGAGGAGGTCGGCGAGGCGGGAGAGCAGAGCCTCGCGCTCACCTGGAATCGAGAAATAAAAGAAGGGAAAGGGAAGAAAGGTACCCAAACATTAACAATCACAAAGTAATGGGGAACAATGTTTAATAATAATGAACGCCTATTTCTCTTGTATCACAGACATAACAAACGAAACATTCTTAAATGAAGTAAACATAAGTCATAACGCAAAGTAAGGATAGTAATTAATGGATTTGATGAACTTAGAAGCAACATTGTGAGATTCTATTCTTTCTTACATCATCATCGCTGTATTTATTTATATTTTTTAATTAGACTGTTTTTTTTAGTTTTTTTTTTAGCTTGATAGCGAGCTGGAGATTGTTTTCAAGTAACTCATGTGAGGACATTTTCAATGATGCGGGTTTGAAAACTGACCACAATCAAATTATTCTGAAAATCTAAATCCTATATCATTACATGCCTATTCACCAAATTACCTGACTGGAAGGGGAAGTTATCCATCATTTGCAGCCCACCCACCACCAGCAGATCTGGGTCGAAGCCTTTGAGTTTCTCTGCAAAAGCAGCCATGGAGTCCAAGTAGGGGTTATGGTCATCGCTGTGGACGATATATCTACAGAGGGAAAAACAGTGAGCTTCAAATACTGCATAGGGTAACATTAATATGCATATCACACACACACACACACACACACACACACACACACACACACACACACACACACACACACACACACACACACACACACACACACACACACACACACACCACACACACACACACACACACACACACACACACACACACACACACACACACACACACACACACACACACACACACACACACACACACACACACACACACACACACACACACACACACACACACACACACACACACACACACACACACACACACACACAGTCTCCTGTGCATGATTGAAAATGTGCCTCTGGTTTAAATACTCTCACATATACAGTTCCCTGCAGCTTCTCAAAGTGTGTACCGAACGCTCCACTAACACATACCTGTTGGCTCTACGTGACGTGTATTGACCCCAGCTCGCACCAGACGGATACTCCAGGATCAGATGAATGTCTGGCTCCTCAACTATGTTCCCTGCCACTGGAAACACAGAGGGATTCAGAACAGGAAGGTTTAGTACACTGAAGGCACAGAAGTGTACTGTATGCGTGTGTGTGTGTGTGTTTGTACCTGCAATGTGTTCAGACAGGACATCAGTGAATTCGGGGCTGAAACTCCCCCCTAGCAATAAATCACATCCCTCGGTTGCCATGCGGCCAGCCATCACCGGGGCATTGCCGCCTATTGCCCATCTGTTGCCGGGTAGGTCACGAGACGCTTCCACCAGCTCGCTGAAGAAAGTGTCATTTAGCACAAAACGCCTGCAAGACAGAAAGAAGTTAAACAATGTCGAAACTTGAAAGAACCAACACAATTCCCTCTCAGTTATTATTATTACATGTTACTTGTTAGACGCTTTTATCCAAAGCGACTTACATACTCAATACTGTGGGCAATCCCCACAGGAGCAATTTGGGGTGAAGTGTCTTGCCCAGGTACACAACGACATGCTGACTGCAGTGGGGTTTGAACCTGTGACCTCCTGATCCGAATACCAACTCACAACCCACTGCACCACACACCTCCCTCTCAAAACTTCATATTTTTCTTATCGTGTCGTAGTTATTTTATTCATTTGTAAAGCATTGTGAATTCAAGTTTCAAGGCTTTTATTGTCATGTGTGCATAGCTACGTTGTAGATATGACAATGAAAACCTTAGGCCACAGGCTTTTGAAATATGCCGTTTAAATAAATGTGCCTTGGTCCAAGAACTAAAACCTGAGAAACCTGTTCACCAGGTCTGTTGCAGAACCCGTGAATCTGAACATCTGTGAACAAGTTAAGTTGTTGGAAAACCAATGTATACTCAGAAAAAGAAAACAGACAACTTAAAATCCTCTTCAATACTTGACTGTGTTTAATATACAGGAAATGGCTCCCCTTGTTGCTATGAGACACCTGACACTACGTAAGCAATGTGCCACCCTTGTAATAATAGCTGAAATATTTCTGCCGAGTCATTCTGAGTGAAGCCATCACATGGAAAACAAAAGAAGCATGAGTCGTGTTCATGGAGCCTCATGGTACACAAACAACCATAATCTGGTTCAACCTGTAGATATTTCTAACTTGTATATTCATGCTTATCTGTACCTCTAAAAATATTTCTCTTTCTGAAGACATACGACTCATTTTAAAATGTGAAATAATCTGCAGTACTCGTGGCAATGACGGAGACATAAGAGAAACAGAAGTAAAAGCTAGGCACAGAAAATAAAACTATCACACATGTGGTTTGGCTCTCTCTACATTTGGCAGAGACACCCAACAATTTCTTCTGTGCACAGAACAAACCAGGCCCCACACACACACACACACACACACACACACACACACACACACACACACACACACACACACACACACACACACACACACACCACACACACACACACACACACACACACAACACACACACACACACACACACACACACACACACACCACACACACACACACACACACACACACACACACACACACACACACACACACACACACACACACACACACACACACACACACACACACACACACACACACACCACACACACACACACACACACACACACACACACACACACACACACACACTTTTTAAGCATGTTGCCGTTAAGTGTTGACAATGAACAAGGGCTCACAGCCAAAACAGGAGAAGAGAGGGGAAATAAGTTCAACGGCATATCAAATGTAAAACTTTAGTGGCTGATAAACATCAAAAGCAACAGAACAATTCATAAGCACTGAAGGAGTCTATCTAGTATGTGTATTTTATAAGAAAAACATAGCGTGTTTCATTGTACTTATTTATATGTACAGGGCGGCTGTGGCTCAGTGGATAGAGTGCTGGACTTCGAATCAGGGGGGTAGCAAGTTCGAGTCCCACGCAGTCAGCATGAGGTTGTGTCCCAAGACACTTCACCCCAAATTGCTCCTGTGGGGATTGCCCACAGTACTGAGTATGTTAGTCACTTTGGATAAAAGCGTCTAAAAAATGACATATAAAAATGTAATGTAATATGTATGTGCAAATAAACCCTTTCACATTCATGGTGAAATCGCAGTGTTTGTGAAAGATCATGTGAGGTAGGCAGCCTGAGGTATGCATCGCAACAAAGAAACTGTTTTCTTTTAAATCTACTCTTGACTTGTCTTACTCCTGACAAAGTTTCCATCTACTCCATGTTCCCTATTCAATTAGAATGTATTCATTAGTCAAGTTTTAGCAAAAGTGCATGCGTTTGGAAAACAGTGAGCTTAAAGTACGACTTGAAAAATGAGCCTTGGAGTGTGAGAGTTTGCTCACGGATGTTTTATGTATATTTGCTGTTGTCACAAACAGACTTAAATTCATCAAGAATTATATAAAAGTTGTACTCACTCTGCGGCAGCTCCCGGTGCGAAGAAATAGGCGAAGCTCTGAGCCAGCTGCACTTCATTTTCTATGAGGTCGTGGTGCAGGGGCTGGTCTGTGTGAGCGAGGCCGATCTTATTCAGCAACGAAACCCCGTCCACTATTAGGTCCACACAGCCTCCAAACCCTGTGGGGGAGGAAAAGAGATACATGTTTGAAATCAGGTTTCCAACTCTAAATCTAGGGTCAAAATGAAGAAGATAAAGAGATGACCTACACTGTCTTTACAACATCAAATCTTCAAGGATAATTCGACTTATCGGTAAACTAATTGAAAGAAATAATAAAGAAAAACTATTCTAATTAATGATTAATAGCTATAATTCATGCAAAAATGGCACAAAATATTGTTTTCAGACTCTTAACAAAAAGTATGTTTCTTTCTTTGCTCGTTTATATCATATTAAACATCTAAATGGAATAAATAGCTTTAATTAATATCTTTGGGTTTTGGACTGATAAAACAAGACGGTTAAAGAAACCTCCATGGACTTAGAGCAGTGCTTCTCAAAGTGTGGTCCGCGGACCACTGGTGGTCCGTGAGCGCCCCCTAGTGGTCCGTGAGTATATTGGTAACATTTCACATTTGAAATAAATGAATAAATGTAAGTTTTCCGCACTCTCGCGGGAATATCTCCGCAATGGAGCGAGCTTAAGTTTCGATTGTATGATATAGCCAAGTGCAACACCTTTGTCACACATGTTGCCGCTTGTTTGTACCATTTTCAGGCGATTTGTAATCTGTTCTAGAAAAACGATGTGTTTTTGGATATTTGTGGAGTTAGGTGGTCCGCGAGTGTTTTTTTATTGGTTAAGTGGTCCTTGGTACGAAAAAGTTTGAGAAACACTGCTTTAGAGGGATGGACATGTTTCACTAGTTTCTGACGTGTCATTGACAAAACCATTCATCTCCAGAAGATCATTCACAGATTTTATTCAGATGCTGGTTCCTACAGTGAGAACACAACTGGATAAAACAGCTTTTAAATATGCTGCCCCCCCCACAGCTTGGAACAATGTACAGAAGGAGCTGAAACTCTCAGATGTAATCACTATGGGGGAATTCAGGTCCATCTTAAAAGGACAGAGAACACGACACCATTGGTAGATGTGAGTGCTCGTATATCAAAAAATCGTTTTAAATGTTGCCAGTTTTTAATGATTTTTAATAGTTTGTTTTATTGCGCATATTGACTGGCTAATGTGCCATTTTATTTGTGTTTTATAGCTGTATTTGTCTGCCTGTCTTGTCTGTGTTTTATCTGTTGTAACTTCGTACATGCTGCCCTTCTTGGCCAGGTCACTCTTGGAAAAGAGATTTTAATCTCAATAAGTCTTTTACCTGGTTAAATAAAGGATATATATATATCATTCACAGGTGAATAAACAATGTTAGTTGCAGTGCTATGACTGCAGTCAAACTGAACATTAGATGAACAAAGACAAATGTATGATCGGCAGTGAGCAGCTTGAGTAAACTGAGCATGTTCGAGTACTCACACGCAGCTGCTGAGCTGCATCATTTTTCAAAGGATCCGACACATCGATACAGTTCGGGCTGACGAGTCATCAGCGCATAGCTTTCATCGACAATATTTTCTGTCAAGTCTGAACCAAGGCCAATACGCTTAGCAAAAACCCAGACTGCCTGACTAAGTTAGCAAGCTGGGAGAAAAGGCAATGGAAAAAGTTAGTTTGTTTCACTTTATTTAACATTTGAATAGGTTTTACATATTGAAATTAGTCTGACTTTAGCTTAACTTCTTGCTGCTTTGTTTGCTTTGCAATGCACTTTGCTAACCATCTGCTTTGCTCTTTAGATAATTTGCTTTCCATAATATAAACAAGAAGACCTGTGCATATTATTAGGTCATAAGATCAGCACAAATTACATATTTACTGTGCTTCTGGTTGAAAGTCAACAGACCAGTGAAGCACCTAAGAAACATTATAATGAGATGCAACTTGTTATGCCTTATATATTTAATCTGAATAATAACAATGTAAGCGATGACTGCGTGGCTAAGCATGTTGAACTGGGTAAAGGTTGGACTGATAGGGGATCACTTCTGTTGTGTGGTCGTAACAAGGCTCAAAGGACAAGATTTTAGGATTAGATCACGATAGTGAAAGACGGGCCAGCATGCAAATAATGTTGTTTGCTGTAAACTATCTTAAGCAGCTTGTCAGGTGAAGAATTCCAGCAATGTTCCTGATGGTGGATGGAGGATCTCTGAACTGATGTTTAAAAGTGCTAATCATTAATGGTCAACCCTCTGTAACCTCCCTATTTGTCCAAACTACACTCAACATACAACACTCGCTAAGATCTAATTGATTTCCCCTAAGTCATTCATTTGCTGACAAACCTCCAGATATTAGCAGAAAAAGGGAAATGTGTAGCTAGGTTAACTTCATAGTGTAAACATGTTCCCAGGGTCCCATGCCTGCCAGCTCAATATCCTTTACACATTTAGGAGACCTTTCAAATTGTTTTATGTTTTCAGAATTGTTTTAAATTGCCTTGGTCAAATATCCAAGCCAGTTTGGGTTAATGTGTGAAAATCACCCAAACCATAGCTCTTTAAAGCCCACTGATGTTGTACTTCTTAATAACAAATGTGTTGCCTCTAGACGTTGACATCTCCACAGAGGCTTAAGTGGTTCAAAGTGCATTGGAAACTTCAATTTCCCTTTCACCATTCCCATAATGTACAATCTTTTACGTAATAAGGACCCTGGAAACCTAGGAATGACCCCTTTAGCTAATGTTTACCCTTGTGTCAGTCAGTGGTCTAAAGTAACTAGGCACATTTACTCAAGTAGTGTATTGAAGAACAATTTTGATAGCAGGACATTTATTTGTAATATAGTATTCCTACACTCTGGTATTTGTACTTTTACTTAAGTACAACATCTACTTACTTCTTCCACCTCTGGTATACATGGTTAGAATGATATGTGTTTTGTTCTGCTGTGTTACGGAGCAATTCATGTTTCGTTATTTAACCTGGAGCATAACCAGTCAATACGAGCTCGTGCATGCTATTCATTACATCAATGATTATTAACTCATAGACTCCGTATTTAGACTCTAACTGATGTTAGGCTAGGCAGCGTTAGCTAACATCACCTGCACTTACCCACTGCCACTTTAGGTCGGGCCACGTTGTTCACCCCGACTTTTCCTTCAGCCCGGAGCAGAGAGGACAGGACGGTGTCCAGCCGGTCGTCCAGTACTTCATTCTGGGGTGACCGGAACCAGAAGGATAAAATAACCACAAACAGGGACACAACAGGCCCATATTTCATCCACGAAGCCCTTCCTTCTCTCTCCATCGCTCGCTGTCTTACTAGATCCGGTTGCTCACACCGCCGGTTAAATAACAAGCCGTGCGTTGAGTTCGTTTGTTTTACTCGCCGGAGTGTTCCGGGTGGGACCTAACTGGGCGGAGACTGAGCAGAATCCTTAATTTCTGTTATTGTTTTAAAACGTCGCCACTTCAACTGTGATTCAGTATCTGTAAAAAAACGTATTTCTATGATCTTTTTGTAAAGAAAGCTTATTTTTTGTGTTCTGTTGTTTACTGACGCACCGATTTCAGTTTTGTTAAGGGAATACGCCTGTGTGTAAAACAACACTTATTGTACTACGAAGGGAGAGTGTTTGTTTTCGCTGACAGCAAGGCGTAAGTGAGGGCAACTTTCATATATTCAAATAGAATGGAAATCAGATGTCAAAGGGGCAAAACCGGCAAAAATAAACACCTAAATAGAATAGAACAAGTAAATACTTAGGGGAATGTTTCATACGCATCGCCAATGTTTAATTTAAATGCTTAGCAGGTCCCACGTGTCCTTTATTTTCTCCAAAAATGTAATAACTTGTACAGTTCAATGTGTGTAAAACAGATTCTAATTTTTTTTTTTTTTTAAAGGGCGGTTTTACATTTAAAATGTAAATAGAATGTATCCACATCATCCTTTCTTATAATGGCTGAATGGTTACATTTGTCTGTTCTCAACAAATGTTTATTACAACGCACATGTACAATGTAACCATTCAGCCATTATAAGACATATTTACAATGCCATACAAGATGAGGCAGGTTTAATGTCGAGCAGTGCAAAAAGTTAAATGTATATCATCTTTAGACTTGTTGAGAACATGCTTTGCAGGGTAAAATGTCATGGTACCATAGCACCTCCAAGGCGCTAAAAATAAAACGTCAAACATCGCAAAATAAACTGGTCAGACTACTGCTTGACCTTTCATCTAGAACCCACCTCACCTCTGCCCAATTTGACAACCTAGGATGGCTTAGAGTAGACGACAGAGTACAGCTACTTGCAATGGGCCTGGTCTACAAGATCCACTACACCTCTATGGTACCCATGTACATGTCAACATTCTTCCCAAAGGTCAAGGAATACCATGATCATAACACCAGAGGGAGCTCCACAAATCATGTGAAACCCAGATTTGGCACAAAAAAGGGGGAATACACGTTTCGCAATTATGCCACATCAAGGTGGACCGCTCTTCCCACAACTGTAAAGGAAAGTAAAACTATACTTACCTTCAAAACCTCTCTTAAAGAGCACCTTCGGGGGAGAGCATTGCAAAACTGGCCCCGGTAATGGTACAAATCTCAACCTGTCGTTCAATGGACAGCTTCCCCCCCCCATCTATGTATATACTCGCATTTTAGACTCTGTTACTAACTGTATATCTGTAGACTTGGTATGTCTTAAATGTCCGGTTAGGATGTATTAGAACGAAATCTAAAATGAAATTTGTAAATAAGCAATCTGTATGTAAAAAAACACCTGTATGTACATTGTAAATAAGCCATCTGTATGTCAAATATGTCTTATATGTCTTAAATGACATGATGAATTGGAAATGGGGGACCCTGATGTAAACAAGACGAAAGTCTTTCTCTGGTCTGCATCCCCTTAACAATTGTATGTTTTGAGCTGTACTGTACTGTACCCAATATACAAGCTGTTAATAAACTTTTCAATCAATCAATTAAATCAATCAAAACATGTGTATGACGTTAAAAAGACGTTTAAATTAAAAATAAGCTTGAACAAAGTAGTGTATTTTTAGATGCAGCAATAACAAACTTTTATGATCAACCATCAGGATAGTTTGGACTTATATATGACATTATAGATCACTGCTTGACCCACACTTTCTTGGTGATTTAATGCCCATCACGGGTGCAAATAATTCAGATAAAAAAACAAATTGATTTAAAAGCCAGCAACCATATTAAAGAGTAACACATATTGGGAAACAAATATTCATTTATTTAATTCAGAACATACAGTTGGGCGCACATATTTTAGATCCAATCGGCAGACAATAAAAAACCCCATTATCAACCCCATTTAAAAAAAGACAATTTGTCAACCAATGCTTAATATGTAAAAACACTAACAGGCACACAAGGAGTTCATCCTAACATTATGGAGTGGCATTGAGAAATTATATTGAATACAAATATCAAAGTATGAAAGCTGTGACCATTACAAATTAGACACATTCATATCAAACTGACCTTTCTTTGCTGTGTTAAGGCAGGGTATTGTAATTTCTTTCAATCATGGCTGAATAGTTGAAGATGCTCCCACGTTCCACCAGTGCTAGATAATAAAAATGTGTCCACAAGGGAACAAAAACAAATTCTACAAACAGTGACAGTTTGCTCCAAATCTCCTGATTAAATTAAAAATGCACAGTATTTTTTATTTAACTTGCTGTAAAACAACGACTCGGTCACAAAAAAAACCTTCAATTCAAGAATGCTAATTTGTGCTCCTGCTATTTCACCTAAATGAGGTGAAGGTCTCTGCCTGTGCACAAAAGAAAACCACATGCCATGTGAGCAGGTGATCAGTTGGCTTCATCTAGAAGAAAGGACTAAAAGCTGTGAGACAAGTTACATTTGAGGTGAGTTCAGCGTCTCCACTTTAGTGATCATGAGTATTTGGAAACGGCAGCCAAAAACCTGCAAGAGAAAAAACGCAGTCAAAAAAGGCACAGACGTCAAGCCACAGAAGCTATTACACTTTTGTGTAGGATTTTATAAACACAACAGCGTTTCATAGGAGCAAAAGGGGTGGTAAACAGTCAAGATATTTGAGGTTCATGCAACAATACAAATCAATGCTCCACTGTTTAGAATTAAGGAGGTTGCAACAGAGAGATCTTTTTCTTTGTTCAAAGCCAATATCTGAAGCCACTTGGGAAAAGAGCTATATAAATAGAATACATTTGTATTGATCCATGTCGATTTTTGTTGTCTCACCTCAGCATTTACTTGGGAATCCCAGCCACAACCTCAGACTCAATACCACAGTGATCAGATCCACGCAGGATCTTGAAGAATCCTAAAAACAGAAACACAGCAGTGGTCAGTTTACACAAATTGAAAAATAATTGGTTTTGCTAAACACCAGAAATGCCATGTTTTAAGTAGAAAATAGTAGTAGTGTGACAGTATATGATATATGCTTTTGTGTCTCATACACAAGAGGTAGGTATATTCAGTTCAAAAAGTTCTACATAGTAATGAAATTGATTTACTATATATATATATTTTTACTTTATTGTCCACAGAAGGAAGATAAGAAGGGATGAGGACATTGTTTTAGGATACTGACCAACCTAGATTAAAACAAGTTAAGTATAAAACATGCATCTTTGCGCACCATTATCTCCCCAGTCAGTGTTCCAGGAGTTGGCGCAGAGCCAGTAGGGGACGCCGTCCTCCTCTCCCCAGCCCAGCATCTTGATGGCATGGCCCCCCAAAGCAGAGCCGGACACATGCTGATACACACCTGAGACGGAAAACAAATAGCCAAGAAACAACACACAGCGGAGGGTCAGCAAGAGTGCGAGTTAAAATACGTCAGAAACAACATTTTACAGAATCACTGAGCAAAATCTGCCTTCAGTGTTACCCTGTGCTACAAATACTCAGTTCTCATGTGTTTGTACTGCTTATAACCGTTACTGGTGACCATCATCTTACCAGTCTTGTACAGCGGGAAGTCTTCATAGACGGTAAAGGCTCCCTCTACTGGGCCGTTCTTGGTTATCTCAACTCGAATCTGCTCCTCCTCTGACGGCACGCTGTAAGAAGTTTTACCTGCAACACACTTTGAGTTAGTCCTGTGCTGCATGTGTGCATACAAATGGGATGTTCATCAAAAGCTAGATAACATTGTTTCACATGTCTTTATCGAAGATCTAATTAACACATTCATTTGTAAGGCAGTTAGTGTAAATGTAGTCCCATTAGTTACGCATTTGTAACAGTTTTCCATTCCAGATTTAATTCATTTGTCTAAAACAAAACATCAATTAACTTGTAGCAATCTGGTATCTCAAATAATAAATCATGTTTTAACCAAGTCTGTTTACAACTGAAATAATTGCCTTTTTTCATACTGTGTTTATCAGGAGAACATTGGATCACATACAATTATTAAAACAAAATATAATACAGAAACATTTTTCCTGGAATGAATAAATAATAAAATTGGGTTAGAGCAAAATAGTTACATTTTTATATTTCATTTATTATTTAATAAGCTACATATTGTAGAGTATGAGAAGACACATAGCTAATGTTGGTATGCTACGCTCTAATCCCTTCTGCCCCTCTCACCGAAGTGCTTGTCTGCTTTGTAGCTGGGAGTGTATCCAGCTTCACAAGTGGAGACGCACTTGGGGGTGTCCCCCTCCTCCCCAGAGCAGGAGGGTCTGCTGCCGTTCACATGGTGTTCACAGGGGGGGATGGTGTAGGGCCGACAACCTGTAGCCATAAAGAGTAAAGTTTCGTTTAAAATCTCATGAGAAGTTGGCCTTCCAAAGATGGCGTGCCATCTTTAAAGTCGTTTTAATGCCCAGCAGACTGTTGTATTGTATTCTCTGAAACAGCAGAGGGCGCACTAAAGCAATATTCCAAACAAAAACACAATCTAGCAAACATGCAACTCCTCAATGAAGAGGAGGAATTGTAAATTACAATAAGACATTTTATCACCCTTTTACAATCTAGGGTGATTTTCCGCAAACAAAACTCTGATTCGCCTAACACCATTTTTTTTGCAGTCAAAGGTTGATTAATTACGGAGCCCCTAAAAAGGGACATGAAAAAAAAAGTCTGGATAACGGGTTAGTTTCTCATGCTCATGAAAAGTTGGCGTGACGTTGAAGCAGCGACCCTGCTGTAGTTAGTTTATAGCATAACGTTAGCATTTTGCTTCTGGCGACTAGATAATTATAAAAGTAGGGTAGACATTTGGACATTATCCGGCTG